AATTAAGGATAAACGTGCATCAGATCATCATAATTAAGGATAAACGTGCATCAGATCATCATAATTAAGGATAAACATGCATCAGATCATCATTAAGGATAAACATGCATCAGATCATCAATAAGGATAAATGTGCATCACATTATCATTAAGGATAAACGTGCATCACATTATCATTAAGGAAAAACACGCATCAGATCATCATTAAGGATAAACATGCATCAGATCATCATTAAGGATAAACATGCATCAGATCATCATATTAAGGATAAACATGCATCAGATCATCATTAAGGATAAACGTGCATCAGATCATCATGTGTTTATCCTTATTGATAATGTGATGCACGTTTATCCTTAATGATGATCTGATGCGTGTTTTTCCTTAATTATGATGATCTGATGCACGTTTATCCTTATTGATGATCTGATGCAAGTTTATCCTTAATTATAATCTGATGCACATTTATCCTTAATTATGATGATCTGATGCATGTTTATCCTTAATGATGATCTGATGCACGTTTATTCTTAATGATGATCTGATGCACATTTATCCTTAATGTTTATCCTTAATTATGATGATCTGATGCCCGTGCATCAGAACATCATTAAGGATAAACGTGCATCAGATCATCATTAAGGATAAACATGCATCAGATTATCTATAAAAGTTCAAAATAACAAGCATATATATTCTGTTGTTTAAAAAACATTTAAAAAATCTCTCAAATTCTTAAGGATTACAAATTTATAATAGCTGAAGACCAAAAATTTATCAGAAATGGATATAAATAACATTACATAGATATAATTTACTACTTCAACACCTCCATTTTTTCCAGTCATACATCAAATATACAACTTTCTGCTTCATCATCTACACCAGTCATGTATCAAACATCTTTCTATAAGGATGATCCATTGCATGTGTATGTGTATTACCATCCATCGCCCAGTGTTGTCTGGCTTGATTACTTTAACTTTTAGTATGGTAACTGACGATATGCATGACCTATTTTGTTTTAGAAATTTTGCCCAAGAAGGGAAATGAAAAGAAGACCCTAAAATAGGGTACATTTCCACATTTTATAGACTTTTTTTTCCCTTTGAATTGAAAGAAACTTAATCAGTTATTTGAGTCCATTATTACCTTCCACAAAGCAGGGATTGCAATTAGCATCTAATGAAATCATTAGGAATTCAATAACAAAAAAAAAAAAAACAAGAAAAAGGAAGATTATCTAACATTTTTTAAATACAATTTTTGCTTCCTTAACAGCTACACTCAGCTAGTACATATAATTTACCAATTCAACATCTGATTGGTTACTCCTGTCATATATAAAACACAGCTGAAATACCCCTTAACTGATGGGGAATGTTTAAGCTTAATTAAAACAACGTAAGTTTAACAGAAATCATATATTTCAAAGTAATAACTTGAACATAAACTTTATCTCAATATTTTAAAATATTAACAAAGCTTCTTCATGACAACATTTGCAGTTTGCTTTACATTTACCAACAAATAAAGATTTTGAGGTGATCCCACCCTTGAACACCCTACATCTTATTGAACGTGAGAAAAGCACGGTTGTTTGAGGAACAATCCAGCAATTTTCATGCTTTAAATCCCTTTAGAATATTCAATATTGTCTAAAGCATCAACATGCCAAGATTATTTGAGATTGACTCAATAGGCTGGGAGAAATTAACCAACAGACTTTACAAAATAGAAATAGGGTTAAGTTCAATTTTGACCTCCTCAGGACATTCCCCACAGTTCATAGTGTTTGCATACAAATTTTGGTTGAGACTGGCCCAATTGGCTCTGAAGAGTTAGGGTGCAAACAAACACACATTACATCTTTTATATATATATAAAACTTACCACTTCAACATCTCCGTTACTCCATACATATATCAAACATATATATATAAAACTTACCACTTCAAAATCTCCATGGTTACTCCATACATATATCAAACATATATATATATATATATATATAACTTACCACTTCAACATCTCCATAGTTACTCCAGTCATATATCAGTAACTCTGCATGTTTACTGAGAATAAAACATTGATAAGCTGAATTAAAAACAAATCAATTTTACAGCTGAAATTCTATGTATCAGCTTAGTAAACATTCAATGTAGCATAACAACTAACATATATTTTCTTACATACTAAAGAAACAGCTCTTCTATACACAAAAACAAACACCATGTTTTTATTTACCTCCTATACAAACAACATAAACTGTAAAAACGTTTTGAAACCACATCAATATAACAGATGATAGGTGTTGAAAATGGGACCTTTGCAATTAGCAAGTACAACAAATGATCATTAAGTTACATTAGAATTCTATAAGCTGTTTAACACTAAAACAACTAGACCGATATATATTCAACATTTCACATTGAAATCCATAACACTACCACAAGACCTACTCACACCCCTATGTTTGCGGACGTGTTTTGGATGCATAATTGATAAATCTAAATTCCACAATAAAGGCTGCATAAGTCATTTTGTATTTGTATCATCAGACACGAGCTTAAGCTTTTTGTGAATTTTTTTAACATGAGACCTATCCAATTCAAGGACACAACTCTTTAAAAGATCAACTCACCTGATCTGCTTTAAATACTCCTGTTTGTAGTAATGATCCAAAGTTTCGAGATATTCTTTAGTTAACACTTTCGAGTTAATTTCATGAGGCTGAAAATAAACCATCAACAGTCTTCAGAACTTTTAAACAAATGAGAAGAATAAAAAATACTTTTGGTATTGCTTATGGAAAAATTTAAGACTAATAAAAACAAATGATACTTCATAATAACCACTAAAAACCGAATTATTATTTTATTTCAAATGGTCCTTGGTGTTATACACAGTAGATATTTACAAATTGACCAGTCAATAAACTAAAAACAGATAAATATCATAGGTAATCAGAAATTGAAATATGAATGGATACTAAAATAGATAATGGATGTGTCTAGATATTCAAGAAATATCAGTTTTGTGAGTGTTAATGAAAAAACTGGCTGTCAGTATGTGTGTGTGTATATATAACACATAAAACACAGAAGGCTTGTTACATCTCAATGAACATTAGAATATATGTATATTAAACTCTTCATGCACTCAAAAGATATTTGTATATATATATAAACAATTAAAGGTTGGGATAACTGTACTTCAATTCAAATAATTCTGCTGCTGGCCAGAATATTCTTTTACATACCATACTTGTAGATCACGCTAATAAACTATATTATTTTACATACCATACTTGTAGATCACGCTAATAAACTATATTCTTTTACATACCATACTTGTAGATCACACTAATAAACGATATTCTTTTACATACCATACTTGTAGATCATGCTAATAAACTATATTCTTTTACATACCATACTTGTAGATCATGCTAATAAACTATATTCTTTTACATACCATAATCGTAGATCATGCTAATAAACTATATTCTTTTACATACCATACTTGTAGATCACCCTAATAAACTAATTTTTTTATGTACCATACTTGTAGATCATGCTAATAAACTATATTCTTTTACATACCATACTTGTAGATCACACTAATAAACTATTATATTACATACCATACTTGTAGATCACACTAATAAACTATATTCTTTTATAAGCCAATTTTAACAAACATACATGTAGATACATCCAGTAGACCAATCACATTACTAATAGTAATCTAATGTAGAACCGATAAGTGTTCCACATTCAATCATCATTAACATTTAACTTAATCCAATAATAATTTATTTTCAATTATTTGTTTTGTTTTAAAGTGTGTTATCCAGGCAAATCATGCATTTTTTACTTTTTTTATTTCAATTTTCAAATTTTTTTGTTTATTCTGAATCTATGCAGTTTTTACATAAACATGGTCCAGAAAACTGTTAATTTGGCCTAACAACCTTTGCTCCTTTGTTATTCTCAAGAGATAATACCTGTTCTGCACATGGAAATAATAGCTGTAATGCTTAATTTTATGCAAACTGTAGACAATGGCAGTGCCCTTCACTGGTAGGTCTGATGATACCTTGAGATAAAACAACCTCCCAAATGTTTAATGAGAATGACCAGTCACATAAATAGCACTATTCCCTATTAGTAAAACTGATGTTTCTGCTAAGTATCAAATATTAGACTTACAGTCTACACAGGCTCTCAAGTAAATTGGTTGACAGAAAGACATCTTGATGGAAGAGAATCAATTAATCAGTTCTTAAGGCCAGTGAAAGACAAAAATCCAATGTCCAGCAAAAATATGCACACTGTGTTTTGTCTTTGATAGTAAATACAGATTATTTGAATTCTGTATCACACACCGTGCCCATTCTCTTTATTTCTTAGCTTAAATTCAGTGTTACTTCGTGATTTAACCTGTCAATACTCCTTTTATACCAAATCATATTTTTATAAATCAGTTTCATCTGAGAATACCACAACAGTGTCATATTGAAAAATATATAAAATTTGTATATAATAACAGAATCAAGAAGAAAACATGCTTTTATAGAAAATAGCCAAATGTTTGTAAATTGTGGAGATGTAAGTCATCTATTAATATTTGATAATATTAGTTATCAACCATTTATATATTGCAAGGATATACAGAACGCGCATTAGACATACATTATCTACTAATGTCCATGCACTGAAGGATATAGGCTATCCAATAATGTTGAAACACTATAAATAAAGTTTATTTATTAACGGTTGCACACTGTGCAGTAATAGGTTATTTAACAAACTCTGAACATTTTAGAAATATTTTATTTACAAATGTTTGTACACTATAGCGTAACCCTATTTAAGAATGTACCAGTGAAAAGTAAAACACTGAACGATGCTCATTTCAGCCTATTTTCATTGTAAAAGTTTCTAGGGCCTCTATCACTGACCATACCTTACCCTCAATGTCACCAATACCTGAACTAAAAACTATAAAACACTCTTTGATCTTGCTGTCAAAATATGTTAATCTGGGAATCTGTTCCATGATATTTTTGTGAAGAAAAGTATAGCAAATATCTGTCTATTCTCTTTTCAATAATTTTCACAAAACATGAAACAAACACGGTAGATTTCAACTAAGTTTTTGTTGAGATGACACCAGTTTGACTATTGTATTTTACAAAAGAAATGCTCATCTTACTATATAACCAATAGATTTTTCTTCAAAAAGTCACTGGTGTTCTGTTAAATGTCAGTAACCTGAAGTTTTCTCAAACTATTATTGATAAGAACTTTTGAGTGAAAGTAATCAAGAATGTATAATAATGTGTTAACTATATCTGGTGCCAGAAAGGCCTTTCGCTTAACAACAAGACTCTTCCGAAGGTCTGGGATATGACGGACATCATAATTATTGCAATAAGCTGTTAATACAAACCCAGTTCATAAAAAGTGGCCGATGTTTTATTCCAACTTCCTCAAAAAGTTTAATATGGCCACTGAAACAGATAAGTGTTATCTCCTGTGACTATAGTAACTATAACGAAGTATAGATAGTAACATCGTAATCTTGTCAAGTAACAAGAATAGAGAACACTTGCTGTTAAAGACAATATCATCAATACATCAGTTTGCATCAAGCCCTTAATTGAATGATGCTGTAACTAACATAATCTAAGATCAATTCGCATCTATCTGTTTTTTATAGGCTAATGTCAAAAACAAGTACACAAGAAGTAATCACACTGCATGCCAAAAAAACTAAAGTTTCGGTTTTGTCTACTGTTAAACAATCAAGATAAAATTTAATGTAAAGTACAGTTGGTGAATAAACAGTTAAATCATTTCTCAACACAAAATGAACATTACTTTCTAAGCAAATGAAAAACTAGAATAAAAGTTATGGTTATCAAGATATTTAGTTTGCAATAGCCATACATTTAAAAAAACAGACTCGAGTTTTCTTAACTCCTTGAAACATTACTACAAAAAAAAATTAATTAAGAAATTACCTAAAAGTTAAAATAAGCTCAATATGATAAACTGTTGAACAGAATTTCTCTTACCAAATTTCTCTTCATTATTCTGTCCATTAGAATGTTAACTGGCACATCTAGATAAATCACTAGGTGAGGTCGTAGAAGCTCACCAATGGTGTTGTTTTTGATTTCATAGTATAAATTTCGTGCTAGAGAAGTTGTAGAAACACACAAATTATGCCTCCCAGCTCAAATATTTTAATTAAATAACAATAAGACTTAAACATTTCACCAAATACACATTACAGTATCATCATTCTTATGATTACCTAATATTAATTATAATAAAATTCAACAAAATTAAATCCATACTGATACTGTATTAAGTTATACATGTGCTATTTATCTTAATTTTCACGACAAAAACGTAACTTTTTAATCAGTCGTGCCCTAGAGAATATTCCTCTCTTAACTAACTGAAAGTAGGTCTAATAATTATTAAAAAACAAACAGAGATAAGTTTTTCTTTTTTTATTGCTACAGAAAATAATATTCTTCAGTTTATGTGCCTACTACTTTCTATCAACTTACCAGGCTTGCTAATGTAACCAAACTTGACCATTGCTTCCAAAAACACAAAGTCACTGTATACTGAACGATCCATCACTACACCTTGACCTGTGGATAAGGAAGTATTTTTTTCTTGAAATATTGTGAGGTACCAGTTTTTATTTAATTTTTTACTATGATTTTGTTTATTGTTCAGTATTTTTCCTTTTATTAATTGGTTCAGCTATATTTTATTTACCTTAAATGCTAGCTCACCTGCCTCTTAGTGAGCATTAAATATGAAAGAAGTAATTTTTTTGTTATCAAGACGACAATGCTAGGTTCCCCCGTGTGAATGTACGGACACTAAGTTCATGATTAACTATGTAAAACAAATATTAAGTAGTCAGTCATGTGATATGTAATTTAACGGTCTGGAAAGACAGTATAAATCTTTAATATTCAAACTTAGACTGATGAGAATGAAAGAGAGGTATTAGGTTAAATTTTGAAAACTGTGATATGCAAGATATTTTTATTGTAAAAAGGTATTATTGCAAATACTTGTTTTACCTTTTACTTGCGAGTTAATGTTTTTATTTTAATACTTTTAATGTGAATAATTTTAAAAATTAGTTTTTTTCTTATTGTTCTTTTTATCCGGCTTTATTATAATCACTATCACTACTTTGTTATTTCGGTATTAGCAAGTTTTTTTTTTGTATTAAAGTTTTATTTGAAGATTAACTTGTTTATTTACATTCAATCTTTTATTAGTGTTTAATAAATCTCCTAAAATATTTCATGCTCTGGTAGTATTTTTCATATTTTTCAAATGTGCTTTTTCATTAATACATATGTTCTTAGTGAAGCCTTAATAACGATTATTTAATGTACACAAAAGGTTCACCCACTTCTATACATTGTATGTCATCCAGTCTTAACATCCGAAATGTCCTACCGAAATAGTTGAAACTTAGAAAACACAACAATTAATCAAGGCTAACTTTCTAATAGGATTATTCTATCCAACAAAGTACTAAAATGTACAAAATCTAACTATGAAAATTTTATGTTTATTAAGATAAAATATTTTAGAGGGGAGGGGTATCTACTGACACTCCCAAAAGACACTTTTGCTCCCAGAATACCTGATTCTGCCCCTACTTAGGGATAGCTAAATGTAAAGTTAAACAATTCTACTTACTTTCTTCCTGCTTATTTTCTTATCATAGTATTATTGAAATGTGGACTAAATCTGTGTAAAATTTACAGTACTCTTTATTTTTGTGTATCCACTACTCCTCCATTTAGAAATAATTGAAAAAAAATTAACAATCTTACAGAATTATAAAAACACCACCAAGTTATGTAAAACACATAATGTTTTATACCTTAACTTTATAATAAAACAATATCTCTAATTTCAATAGTTTTATAACCACAGTTACAAATGTTACAGTTACCTTTATGCTATATTCAATGACATTCTGTGCATGTTAAGTAATGTATATTTTGAAAATCTTTCTGCCTCTACCTCTCTTGCTTGTTTCATCATCTAGTTTATCACCTATTTCTTAGTTCTGGTGACAAAAGAACTTTATAAAGGCTTGAAGATCTAATTTTTAACACTGTAAATGAAAATCCATCTATGATATTTTAATGATCAGTGAAAAAAACATGTTTCCCAATGACATGAGGTTAAATGAAAAACTAACATCATAACATGAGCTTGTATTGTACAAAATGTCTAATTTTGGGCACAAGGTGGTTTAAATTAATGGAGAACCCAGCACGGTCGCCTCTCCACCTCCCAAAACAATTATTCAAAGCAACAGTATATGCAATCCTTCACATTCATAAATCTATCTACTAAATAATCAATTGTTAACTTACCACACATGTACTGTTCAACCACATCAGCTATTATACAAGTTCATAATTTTTGTTACATACCAAAGATTAAGTCTTGACCTAAATTTCTAAAGTTTGTTTAATTTTATTTCTCCTAATTTCCAAGTTCATGTTTTCATTCCAAAGATTCATACATAGCAACCCTCTGGCAGCTTTTTTATGCCTTACCACATTAAGGGGACCAACACTACAGACAGTAATTGAGATGAGGCCTTATGGGTATGAAAATAACATTAAATATTTATCCCACATTTTAACCTACTAGTTACTGACTTATTTGTGTACTGTTCCATATCAGTAAAATCCACATTTTCAGTCACATTGGGTAATCTTATTTGCTGATGTGTTAAAACACTCACTGTAAAAAACTGGCAAAAAAAGGTTAAGTGATACCACTACACTCCAGCAGTAACTAGTGGAATAATGAGCATTAATGACTAAATATAACTAGTGGAACCATGAGCATTAGTGACTAAATATAACTAGTGGAACCATGAGCATTAGTGACTAAGTATAACTAGTGGAACCATGAACATTAGTGAATAAATATAACTAGTGGAACCATGATCATTAATGACTACATATAACTAGTAGAACAATGAGCATTAATGACTAAATATAACTAGTAGAACAATGAGCATTAATGACTAAGTATAAGTAGTGGAACCATTAACATTAGTGACTAAATATAACTAGTGGAACCATGAGCATTAATGACAACTTTACGTAAGAGAGAAAGAGGAAAGTTGAATCCCTGTTGTGCAGGGTTTTAAAACTAACATAGGTAATATTTAAACATTTACTTGTAGTTATACCTCACCATCTGTCATAATACTTGTAATTTGCCAGTTGACAATTTCAAATAATTGTAAGAACGTATGACATTGTCACTTATGGACTATAGTTTCTAGAAATGTGGTGTATGTTAAAAATGATACTTGTAATGTTGTGTTCTGTATATTTGTAGGGAATATGGTGTGAAACTTGTAGCATAGAGTTTGTGGTAAGTGTAATTTCTGGAATTATCAATGGCTGACATAACCTATTGGTTATTTAAACACATTTCTGTAAATTGTTTATGCACTAACTTGCTCATGGATCCAACCATAACTTTATTGGTTGTACTTCTAGGCTATTTTGTCACTAATGCTCATTGTTCCACTAATTATATTTAGTTATTAATGCTCATGGTTCCACTAGTTATATTTAGTCATTAATGCTCATGGTTCTACTAGTTATATCTTTCAATATTGAGTGAAATACGATGGTTTGCTACTTATGAGAATTTTTTTTACAAACCTGTTTGTAAAAGATGCGCCAGTGCATCAATGTACTGTTCATATCTCAATTTGTACATCTGAAACTGAAATTCAGGAACATTTTCATTACTGGGATTTTCATAGAATGTCTTCACATCGCATGATTTGCATGAAGCGGGTAACAAAGGATCTAGTGTTCGCATATCAAACCCATAATCATTTATATACCGCATATCCATATCTGCTTCTGGAACAAAATGCATGTCAAGTTGTTTAGCTAGTTCTTCAGCAAAGGTAGTTTTTCCCGCTGCAATATTTCCATCTACAACCACAACTTTGGTATTTTCATCAAAGCGAGAAAGAGTGTCATCAAAGTATTCATGATACCACCTGTATTTTTTTTCCTTGTATGGCCAAGGAGCTGGTCTTTTATAATCCGGACCCCGAATCTGTTTTCCAGAGATCCATGCAACTTGAAATTGGAGGGCTGGAAATGTTAGGCCCAGGTGACCTCCATAGTTTATCAGTGGTATAGGATTTCTGGTGGCAAACATGACCGTAGGTCCAACCTTCGCAGCAGCTAAACGAACTGCTGACCACGTCATAATTAGATATTCGTTTAACAAATAAAAGACAACAAAAATATGTTAAAACGCCCTTGACTATTCACTCCTAAAACCCTGCTCTCTCCAAACTCCACCTGAACGACAGCGCCACCTCTAGTGCTACCTACTAAACAAACAAAAGAATTAATATTTATTTTGGTTCTTATTCAGCAAAATTGATATTAATATTTTTCATTAACTTCTGTAATGTGGTTAAACAGTAGTCTTCTGGATGGTTTGTAAGTGCAAAGTACTTAATCAAACGCTTTTATGAACTCTGTCAAGCTATCGTGGTGAATTTTGGATATGAAGAAAGTTCTGATATTGGACACAATGAGCCGCTGTATTGTGGAAAATTCGTCGGCAAATGGTGAAAGTCTGTGTGCATTGAAAGTATCACTGCGGAAACATCCACAAGTCCACTTCAGCACCCAGCTGTTATATATACAAGAAGACACCAAAGGGCACGATTCGGCACATTCTGCCCAAATACTAATGAGCTGTCTATAGTAGAGGTAAACTGCAAATTGGCGATAACAACATTTTTAACAAATGATAAAAAAAAAAATCTGTTTAACTTCCCCACCAGGTGTTATTTTTGTACACATACTGTGATCATAGTTAAGAAGCATAATAAAAACTGAAGTCTTGGTGTAAGGCATGTGAACAATAATTCTGTAGCTTCGCCACCCTTTTGTAAAAAATCAGCTTCGCCAAAAATAAGATAAAATATAATACTAGTATACTGTTACTAATAATAAGTAGTTATAAGTCAGAAGAACAAAATGTTTGAACATATTATTAATTATAAGAACAACAGTAATAATAAAAAAAATTATTATATAATTTATATTTTATTTTGTATAAGGCCCGGCATGGCCAGGTGGTTAGGGAGCTCGACTCGCAATCTGCAGGTCGCGGGTTCGAATTCCCGTCCCACCAAACATGCTCGCCTTTTTCAGCCGTGGGGGCGTTATAATGTGACGGTCAATCCCACTATTCGTTGGTAAAAGAGTAGCCCAAGAGTTGGCGGTGGGTGGTGATGACTACCTTCCTTCCCTCTAGTCATACACTGCTATATTAGGGACGGCTAGCGCAGATAGCCCTCGTGTAGCTTTGCGCGAAATTTAAAAAATAAACATCTTCAAGATTAATTTAGAAACTAATGAACAAGGTATTAAAAGCCTGCTTATTACAAAACAGGTAATGAAACGCTCATGCCTTACCTATTATAGGCCAATAACACTTGACCATGTTTTGGTAGCTTTTCCCAAACTTCTTTTTTCTATTTCTTTGGACGAGAAAAAAGTGATGTAACGTACGCTCTAAAAGAGTGTCTTCCCACAATTAATCCATCCAGATGCTAACACCACTATCGTCAGCATTCATTCCTGGACTGCTTATCACAATATCTTAACGAACTTATTAGCTAAGATTCAAAACATCAAAATGTACCTTTTAATTCAATCGGCAAAAAATTATCAACACAGTTGTACAAAATTTGATTATCATCGAAAGACTGCATCAGCCTGGTTGAAAAGCATAACTTAATCTCCTGTTTTAGTACCAGGTTAGTTATAGCTGCCTGTTGATGGATTCCTACAATAACTATCTAATTCAATTGCTCGTGATGTTAAGAAAACACTTAGGTTCAAAAGGTCAATTTAAGTTTGCCCCTGATGAAGAAAAGTCCACGTTTCTAAAGCGCTCGGATTATAGGTTTTTTTTTTATCATTGCCTTAGATGCATTTACTTATAGATTTCAGCTGACTCTGAGTATACATCATGCAATCACCAAAACTACTGAATTCTATCAATGTTTCGGTATAACACATCTCAGTATGATGATGATCTCACTTTCATGAATCCTTTGTGTCAGTTCTGGTATTCATGGCACCGTGACCACTTCAGTCCCGAAAAAATGTTTTAATGGACTATTGAATCTGAGACTTATTGTTCTACAAATCCACTAAACTCAAGCATCTTTCTAAGTTGGTATATTAAGAATCTGATATGTTTTTTTTGGCAAAGTTAAACATCCATTCAAGTTTATGGTTTTAAATTTCTCCCCACACAGTCTTATCCAATGTCCTTTCCCTAATAATTCATTTCGGATTTCATAACAGAAACATGAAAATAATGTTTTAAATAGGTGGCTAGTGTACATTTGTTTATGAATTTTAGTCAGTTTTGTAACTTTTGCTGGTATAGAATGTTGAATATGCAACATTGCTAATATATTATCGCAGGTGGTTAGGGTGCTCGACTCACCATCTGAGGGTCGCGGGCTCGAATCCCCGTTACACCAAACATGCTCGCCCTTTCAGCCGTGGGGCATTATAATGTGACGGTCAATCCCACTATTCGTTGGTAAAAGAGTAGCCAAAGAGTTGGCTTAATTTCAGATATATTTTTCATATACGTGACCTGGTGGTTAGGGCGCTCGTCTCGCAATCTGAGGGTCGCGGGTTCAAATTCCCGACACCGAACATGCTTGCCCTATTAACTGCTGGGGCGGTATAATGTTACTGTGAATCCCACTATTCGTTGGTAAAAGAGTAGACCAAGAGTTGGGGGTAGGTGTTGTTGACTAGCGTAGATAGCCTTCGTGTAGCTTTGCGCGAAATTCAAAACAAGTTAAGCCAATTTTACCTATATATTATTAGTTTTTTTGAAGTGTCGGGGCTCAGCTTCAATTTAAGGTGCCTGAGGGATGCTTGGGTGCTCTCCGGCAGCATTTCAGTCCTAGTTCTGATTCGTGTACTCATCTCACTATTGATCAAAAGTTCTTAGCACTAAATACTTTCTTGCTCGTTTTAGAATTGAACCTGATCTAAAAATCTTACTACTACGTTTCCGGAAATCATCATAACTTGCTGTGAGCATGGGCGTCCGCGTTAATAAGAAAATTGTATCACAATCTTGTTTAAAGTTATTAGAAGACAGTGAAAAGTTAACACTTTAAATGTGAAAGTGTTATAATTATACAAACTTAGACATACGCTAAAATGGGCCTTGAAACTTTACACAAATATTTAAATTAAGTTTTGAAACGATAAACCTTTATCATATATTAAATAGACATAAAAGTTTGTTTCTGGACCAAATCCACGTAAATATAATACCAAATTTGATCTATTCTGGCTTTCTTGTCGGTCAAGATTTTCAGTGGTTTTTATAATGAATGTGTAGGACTAAAATACAAATTTGCTAGAGCTCTTTTACTAAGCTTAAATGGAAAGACATGACTCTAGAAAGTTATTAAACAATGTGGCATGTTTTAACACAGTAGGTATATTAACAATCTTAGTTCTGTAGAGAGATTACTGATCATGTTTTAACACAGTAGGTATATCAACAATCTTAGTTCTATAGAGAGATTACTGATCATGTTTTAACACAGTAGGTACATCAACAATCTTAGTTCTGTAGGGAAATTACTGATCATGTTTTAACACAGTAGATACTTCAACAATCTTAGTTCTGTAGAGAGATTACTGATCATGTTTTAACACAGTAGGTATATCAACAATCTTAGTTCTGTAGAGAGATTACTGATCATGTTTTAAGAAAATATTTGTTTTAGAAAATACCACTTTTGTTAATATAAAATCATGATTTCCGTCCGTAAGATTGTATTTTTGTAAGTAAGGTTATTCATTTGTATGTACTGTTTAACGATCGTAACGTAGATGTCACTTGAACGAGTCTAGTATATTTAAACTTTATCTTTACGTAATTGTCTTCGCATTATTGTCGTAAGCCTTATTTTCTCAAGTCCGAGATCTTTCGATGTTAAGACCACGAAAAACAGCGGAGGAAACAAATATATAATTACGTCTTTAGACAGTATTACCGTAGTAACGGCACTGATTCAAACTAAATAAAAATGTATTGAAAATTGGTTTTTATTTTCAAGCTGTGTGATAAAGCTACATCCGGCGTGTCACTAGTTTTCAACCAATAACTAAACGTATCACATTTTTCCCGTGACGTATTTTTAACCCGTTTTGTTATTCGTTGAGTGTTGGTGACGTCACATTGTTTAAACACCAAAATTCATTATTATCCTCTCCTGGCTGATAAAAAAACAAGAGAATTAGATAAGAATGGTGATATTATTCGTCGAGACAGCCAATGTTGTATCGTTTTCAGTGCAAACCGGCCACAGACACCACAACCATCTCGAGTCTGTATAATAGGTATGTGTTATCATTTTGTAATGTGGTTAGGTATTAACTTAATACATAGCAATCTAAAATTTAGGTATTCTTTCTACGGCAAGGCGCAACTTTTAAGTTAAGACTATTTCTCGGACTATAATTCCCCATTATTTATATAGAAGGTTAAGAAATGCAAGTTAACAACATAGATGTGAATAAATTATGAGCTTGAATTATGATAGACGAGACATAGCCAGCAGTACACACCGCCAACGTTCCGGATACTACAATCAAATACTGGGATTTAATTTTCATCCTTTTAACGTTCCCACAGTTTCAAAGTGCGGAGTGCAATTTGCAGCAAAGGGATACGAACCATGGACCTTTGGATCAGCAGACTAGCACGCTAATCAATAGATCACGCACGGCCGCAGAAGTTGAAATATAAATAATGTGTTTCTACACATTCACACACACACACGTATATACACAAATATATACAGGGTGGCCCAAAAGTAGGTATACAGTTGACAATTGATAATGTATTTAAAGTAATTAAATTAAAATTATAGTATACGGTTACACGATAGGTTCTTCAGCGTAAGTTACATCAATATTTATTAATGAATTTCGTGTTTCACAAAAAAAGGTATAATTTCAACGAAACTTACGGTACAGAAAATATTTTTATTTTTTCAGTTTTAATAGCCTGGTGTGACTTTGCTGTGAAAAATCAACAACATACACATAAACAGTTAATAAAGAAAACGCAATGTTACATGAATGGTTCCATGTTATTCCTCAATCACACAAGGCTCTTAAGCCTTTTGTTTGTTTCGCAATTTTCGTACATAAGGACTATCTACTCATAGGCGTCCATAATTTTCAACTGACGGGCTGGACTAGGGGGACTCATGGACTACTCTTATACGATCCAGTGGAGAGATATGACCGTCACTCTTATAC